AATCAGATCGAACTGTACTGTCAAAGTCTGGAAGTCTGGTAAAATAGGAACCAAAACTCTGTTGAAAAGGCCTTGAAACTGTAACATCCTTTCTTGCTTTTCCCCCCCATCAGATCAAACTGTACCAGCTGACCCGCCTGCTGCACGACCAGTACAAGGACCTGTACGAGCACTTTGAGATGCACGAGATCTCGCCCACGCTGTATGCGGCCCCGTGGTTCCTCACACTGTTTGCCTCACAGTTCCCGCTCGGGTTTGTGGCCAGAGTGTTCGGTAAGAGTGGGAATACCCCTTTTTGTCTGACTCCACAATGTTATTTATTCAATGTTTGTAATAATGATTATAACTAGCATTTGTATAGTGCGTATCCCCGCTCGATAGCAAGCTCTATGCGCTTTACTCTTTATTACTACCCCAGTGAAACATAGAACACTCAGAAACATTCTCAGCTTCCCGGAAAGCATACAGCTTAAGCAGCTGATTAAGCGCTCAAACACTAACAAACTGACAAGATCATTCACTGTCTATAGCTGGGAACCCATTCCCACCTGGATGAAGTGAGGGAAATTCGTTTAAAGTGACTTTTAAACAGCGTCTCGCCCCTGATGGGATTGGAACCCACGACCTTTCGGTTGCGAGTCTAAGAGCTTAACCACTACTGTCAGCAACCATTCAGAGTGGGGTGTTTCTGAATTCAGAAGATGTGAATCCAGTTCCTAGGACATTTGAATCAACAGAGGTCTTGGGAAAATAGAGACAGCAACAGCTGGGCTTCTCATCATTGCGAATTTGGGGGAATCATTACTTTTGCTCAGTTTTACGAAAATACGATCCTATTACCCCTGACTCCAATTTTTAAAAATATCAGATACCCCAACCCACTGCCAGCCCTCCCGGAGTAAAGGGAGAGAAAAACTAAGGGACATGAACAATCTGTGTCACTATATTCTGTACGTCCCGCTGTCTAACTTTAACAATAACATCCTCTTTGTATTGAGCCCTTGTAGTTGCTCAGTGCCTCTTTGGCCCCAGAAAAACATTAGACTTAGAAGTCCTAAAGCAAGGAGTGAGCAAAAATTAGGTTGACAAGGTGAACAAAATTTATGTCCTTTTGTGTTGTAGATAACAGCTGAGGCCAATAGAGAATTTTTCTTCTTTAATGGATCAATTTTTGAAACTTGATCCAACTGGCTACGGTAGATGGGTGGCATGATGTGTTGTGATGCTCAATCAGGATCAAAGATTTGTGATTTATTCTGTAATTCCAAAGGTTTCTTTTGTTTTTGCAGTATGAAAGCTGGAAAATGTCATTAAATGCCCCCAGAATATGGGTCGTTTAATGCCATCCACTTCGAAAAGTGTTCGAACCAAGGAGAAAAAAAAAAGAGTACTGATTCATATTTCTAGACAGACTATATGTCAGAAACGTAACAAGTTAATTAGTAGTTAGTGGGTAGCAAGGGTTTCCAAAAAAATAAAAGGGATTATTAAGTTGTTATTATCATGGAAAGTTTGTATACTTGGAAAGATAATAACACTGGCCTGCAGAGTATTCTTTTAAAAAATCAGATTTCGGGGGAGGGGGGATGGGGGATTTTTAAAATTGAAGCACACACCATGATGTCCTGCTTCCCCGCTCAGTTTACTGATTATAATTGTTAGTATTAATCTTTTTCGCTTCACCTCACATCTACCTCAGTACCTTCAGACCTTGAGTTGTAAGTTCATCACAGGCTCCTTTATTGTTGTTCTTGGGCGGGTTTTGTTTATTTTAGTTTCTTTTGCTACGATTGATTCCTTAACTGCTCTTCATTTACGTTTTGCTACCTTAGAATTACAAAGTTCTATCTGGCCTTTCTTGCCATTGTGAGTTACTAAGACCGTGAGGTCAGAGGCCAAATTTTCTATCTGTTCTATCAAATTGGAAAGACTATTATTCGGAGTCGTTAGCAAGATATTCTAAGAATTGCATTCGAAAAATCTTGACATGATGTGAAACTCAAAATTTTTTACGTCAAATTTCTCAAAACTAGATTTTCTAGATACTGGGCAGATAGAACTTTGTAATTCTAGGATAGCGATTTGCTGGAGCTGGTTGCACAGCAGGAGTATCCGTGACTTCTTTTTTCTACAGTTGTTTTTTTTTAAAGATTTTTTTGGGAGCCGAGGGTAATGATTCGCTAAAATTTTCCTGTTTCTGGTAGTCAATTAAGAGATTAACTTGTGTGTAAATAGGTGAAGGATTTGATAAGGGGCTTTTTTTTAATCAGTGTTTTTGGTTGAGTGTTGTTATGATTCTCCTGGTTTCATCTTTTAATAGGGATGACATGATTCAATGTAGATTGCAAAGGTTTGAATTCCTAATAGGGCATTTGGAAAATTGGGTTAGTAGGGGGGTAAGGGGCTTTTTGACACATATAGACGAATGCGCGCCTGCACACACTCACACATTCTCACTTAGTCCCCATACACACACTCACACTTACGCACACACAAACGCACATGCATGTGCACTCGCACTTGCACACACACACACACACACACACACACACACACACACACACACACATGCACACACACACTCACACTCACACACACTGAATTAACCCAAATCCTGCTAAGAGGCTCTACCAGTGACAAATATAATTTTTCTCCTCTATTTTCCAGAGATGGGACAGTCTTTTTTTAAAAACATAAATGAATGAGTAAATAAAATAGGGTGACTTCCTTCCTCCGCAGACATGATGTTCGTGCAAGGTATTGATGCGCTGTTCAAGGTGGCGCTCATGTTGCTAGGCAACCACCGCGCCCTCATCCTGCAATGCAACTCGTTTGAGAGTACGGTGGACTTTCTTAAGACAACCCTGCCTGAGATGGTGCAAGTACAGATGGAGCGAATCATCAACCAGGTAAGGAGGAAAATGAACTAAAGATGGAAGTAAATATTTATCTAATAATGTTCAGAATTTTGTATATTCTGCTTATGGATTGTTTGGGTGGGTAAAAAAAAAGTTGTGGTTGTTTGCTTTTTAGAGATAAAGCCTTTTTAATTTTTAGACCAACCTGGCACAAAATAATAGCAGTCGACCAAGGGAAGTAACTTGGAATATATTTTTAAAGTATCGAGATTGTCATTCTTAGTAATAGCGGTTTTGTTATAGGTTTGTGTTTTTTTCAAATAGTTTGTTTTATTTGTGTGCCTGTCTGCCACACAATATTGTAAAATTCTGAAAAGACAAATAACATATTTCATTTTATTTTATCTGTTCATGTGATCCCGTGTATAGTTCAAGATCAGACAAGTTCCTGTGGTGTTGTGGCACAGTTTTGTGGTTTGGCTCTTCACTGTTGCTTGCAGAAATGTGCCTCCTAAGTGATCTAAATTCTGTTAATGGGGGCGTAAAACACATTCATTAAAAAAAAATAAAAAATTTTCAAGACTCTCCATCAATTTAACTCTGTCCTTGATATGGATGTTAGATTTGGAAACCCTGCTCAGCCTTCTGAATAATCTAAAGGCGTTTATGAGGGTGAGTTTTTTAAAAATTGTTTTATTTGAGGTTTTACGGCGCTCGCAGCTGCATAAGGTCATATGAACGCCAAGGGGTGGATGTCAACCGAGAAGTCGTTACTGGGAATCAAACTTACTCTGTTCACCTCTCTAGCTTCAACAGCACAAAGTCTGCTTCGACTATCAAGGCACCCCAGATATAACGGGTCGCAAGAGTGTGACAAACATACAAACGAAGTAGAGAAAAAATGACGATAGTAAGGATTAGGAAAGAAAAAGCAGCAGTTCCCTGTTGCAGTTCAGGCACAGTTATGTGCATGACATTGATGAATCAGCCCATTTACAATTACAATTTTACTGTGCATAAGAACTCAAGATGTTAATGTCCCCTCCTTTGGGAATGGCCTAAAGACACGTCAGTCAGTAGCACCGCCCCGAGGGGTATATGAGGATGTTAAAGCCAAGTTGATTGAGGGCCACTGGTAGGTCCTGTTATGCTCTTTGTCTGTCCTTTTACCTGTCTAGCTCTTTTCTGGCACTTGATCACTATTGTGTGGATGTGCTTCTCTTTGGTCAAACTAAGAAACAAACAATATATCAAAACTGTACTGTGGTTGGTTGGCGGGTGCTCTGGTGTGCTTTGCTTCTTCTTTCCTATCAAACGTCTATCGTCTTTTATCTCCACTCCTTCTTTTTTGTGTTTGTTACTCTCTTGTAACACTTCTAATCTTCGGCGCTTAAATGACCTTATTGTGTTGCAAGTGCTGTAAAACACTTACTAGAACTAGAAACTGTACTGTTTCCCTGCTTATTTCTAGCTTCTTTTTGCTCGAGTGAATAATTGAATTGCAACTGAAATGCTTCTGTCTGTTTTTTCTCCACTCAGGCATTTGAACTTGACATCAGCAAGGAACTCCAGGCTTATGATGTGGAGTACCATGTCCTGAGTGAAGAGATGTCCTTCTCTCCCGCCCTCTTGCCACACCACCACCACAACCACCGCAACAGCAACAGTCACCGACACCACAGCCTGCCGCAGCAGCACAACAGCCCGTCCTTGCAGCACCAGGCCATGCAGCATGTGCACCACCACCACCACCACGCTCACGTGGCTAAGAGCTCACTCGAGGACAGGCCCACGCGTCTGGTCGACCGGCGAAGGTCATCCATCGACATTGAGATGTTGTCGAGGCTGGAACAGCAAAACCGAGGGTTGAAGCAGCAAAATATGGATCTGTTAGAGAAGTTACAGGTAATGGTAGTTTCCGTCTTGGACTAACTCTAAAGGTTTAGCCTTACACTTTAGAAAGTCGTGAGATTCCAGGTTAGGATGTTGAAATGATAGTGCTCCAATGCATTTCCCTGGGGTACATATATACCTACTCAGAAGGAGGCTCTGTGCTCTTAACAACTTATCGTTGCCAGAGCAGACCCAATATCTGTCCAAAAAGTCCTCTTCTTCCTAAGAAACTTATGTTGACAAGATCTTTCCCAGGATACCCATCCTCACCTGTGTATAGGGAGATTTTGATATTTTGCACCACAGTGATGTCAACGTGCTTGACTTTGGAGGGCACTTCTAGTCAGTCCTGCTTTTTGTTAGCCTTCTATTGCTTCTGCCTATCTTTCAGCTACAGGCTACATAGCCAATTCTTGATAATTTTATAGATGTTCTTTTCTTTAACTCTCACCAACTTGATGATAAACTGTCAGTGCTATATGGGTGGTTAGTGGGTGCTCTGGTGTGGTTTGGTCCTTCCTTCCTTTCTAACATCTATCGTTCTTTTCTCTCCTTTTGTTTTATGTTTGTTATTCTCTTGTAGCACCTCTAATCTTCAATCCTTATTTGCCCTAATTGTGTTACAAGTGACGTAAAATACTTACTAAAATGAAAACTCTGTCGGTGTGTTTGACTTTCTCTCTGTTCTCTCATGAAGAGCCATAATGGTCAAGCAGGGAATGAATACAGTTACTCAGAAAATTTAAACAATGTCAGCTGTTAGATGGGTGGTCACTGGTTTCTCTCCTTGAGCAAGGCACTTCAATGTTAGCTTGGGAACAGGGCTCTGAGCTACCAACAGTGGAATGTTTGCATGGATGATTCCTTTGGGGTTTTTTTTTCTTTTTCTGGGCATACTGTGATTTGTTTGACTTTAGCTCTTACCATTGACAGACAAGTCTTTCTCCATGATCAGTAATGCCCTTCATTTCTTTTTTTTTTTCTCTTTTCTTCCCAGCATTCACAGTCTCAACAGCGCAGCTATGAACACAGCGTACACGCCCATCAGATAGAGCAAGACAAACTGCGCTCACATGTGCGCACCCTTGAACTGGAACGTGCCGCGCTGCTCAGTGCAGTGGCCAAGCTACGCAAACTGGTGCCTCGAGCTGCCCTGCAGAACCTCCACCTGACTCTGCCACAACTGCCCCCCACCACACCATCCCCCACGTCCAGTAGCAGCTCACCAGGGTTTCCTGGAAGCGAACCGGAGAGTGTGGGTCCCTCAGAGGAGGGCATTCTGTCTTCTAATGTTAGGGGAGATGTCGAAGCTCCAGACGGTGGTCAGAAAAGTGAGTCAAGAGACGGAAACATGGAAAAAGCTTCCGCTACTTTCATTGGAGATAACAGTGCAGGGGGTCTGTTTTCAAGCGAGGAGAATACTGGTGACTTAAGTGCAAAGCCCTGCTCTAATGTTGAAGGATCATCTGTCAACACGTTATCTGGTGCTTCTGCAGAGGTCTCGTCTCAGAGAGGACTCTCGTCTCAGACGACCCCGTCTGGTGCTGCCACTACGCCCACAATCGCTCGTCGCCCACGGGAACTGTCGGATAAAAATGTTTTATCGTCCTCGTCCGTTGTGTCCGAGTCTTCTCTGTCAGAGCAATCAGGCCCTTGGTCCACTCCTTCAATGCATTCCTCTTCTACTGGGGCCGCCCAGTCCCGTAATGCGCCAAGGGGCTCAGGTCACCGTGATGAGGACAACAAACCTGCAGGGCCCCGAAGTCTGCCACATGATGCCGCCGGTTCAGGGAGATGATGATGTTCCATACGTTTCGCTTAGTCGATCACCTCAAGCCTTTTCCTTCTCATCTGCTGAGAGACCCAGCCACGCCACACACTTTCCAATGTATAGAAACTTTTGTTAGTCTAATATGTGTTTCTAGCAGCTGATGGTACAGAAGTTGAGGCTCACATCAGGTTAGTTTGATGTCCATGGCATATACCAAAACTGTTATCTAGCGGGAACACTTTTTCCTGCTGTTAAAACCTCAGAGCCAGAATCTGGCATGTGGAGACCAGTTTTCTGACCTTCAAAGAAAAATAGGATCTAATCTGCTGTGATGTGCTTTAACTCCCCTGGAACTTGTTTTTAAAAATAGAAAATCAGCATTTCATATTTGCTTTTGATTATAATAATGTAACAATTATTTGATGGGTTTTTTTTGGTCGAATATTACTTCAAAATTTAGCTAGGTCCATCAATGAAATAATTGTTACTTTATACATGTGAAAAAGCTAATTCTAAAGTTCTGTAAAAAAAAAAATTAAAATTGGAGGATGTAGCATTATATCAGCCATCAACAGTGATACTCACCAAGTGTCAGTAAACCAGTTTTCCCAAAACCAGCTCAGTTAAGCAGCTCTTGATGAAGAGTTTGCTTGTGTATTTAGCGAGACTCAGAAACTGGCTCCATTCTAACCAACTGTCTGTAGCTTTTTTCCTATGCTGCTGTTTGAATGAGCATCCCAGTAGGCCTACATATGATTCTGAGTCAAATTGACTTTTTTAATGATTTAATTGAAATAGAAATGCCCATATTAACTATGTTAACTTGGATTTGGTATTTCTCTATTTAACACAAAGAAAAATGTCATTGAGAATGGCCAATTTTAACAGAAGTTATGGCTTACAAAGATTTTATTCCCATTTGCAATGAAATTTCATTTTGCTGGTCTAGGTTTTAAATTGCATAGCAGAATGATTATCAGTGCCTGTTGGGTTCTTTATAATGGTTTTGTAATGCTTGAAAATGTATGCGTTCATAATTTAAAAAGCCAGACCCCCTTTTACTACTGTAGTTATGTGAGTGGGGAGTTTGGAGATATGTGTGCAGAGAAAGTAAAAAATGAGAAAAAGTATCACTTTTATTCTTCCATGTTGGAACAGTTGTGTTACAATGCCTGTACAATGCAATCATAACAGGGCCCTGAGGTTACGTCAGTATCACATAGTACACAGTATCACATCAGTACAGTTACCATCACTCCACACTGGATCGCTAACAACACCATCACTCCACATGTCGTGTTGCTGCTCCCCACAATGAAACTAGCTGTTTTTGAACCAGGGTGTTGTTGTCGTGCTCAAGGAGGCATCCTCGTCACCACCTGTGTTTCCCAGTGAACACTGTGGAAAGTTTTATCTAAACCTCTATTTGATATAGTTTCATACTTGATTTGAGGGTGGCTAGATTTTCCTTCTTAGGGGAGCAAAATCTACCGTTTTGGCACAATTCGATAAAATTTTCTGAAACCTAACATGTTTGAACTATCGTCTGTGGTGTAGTGGTTAGGCACTTTGCTCTCATATAAGACCCAAGTTTGATTCCTGAAAAGGGGGGGGGTAATCTTTTAAAAATTTTCACTCTATTTTGAATGTTGGGTTGTCATTTTGGAAAAATTCATCCCTGGCTTAAGTTGAAATCGAACATTGTATCCGTACTGTTTTGTTACTGTGAATGAATGTGGGGATATTTTGGCATCATTTGTTGTTGCTGTTTCTGTTTTTTGTTATTTTTGTTTTTTGGGTTTTTTTTTAGGGGGGCAGGGGATTTCAGAGTGTGCTTTGGTTCATTTGACTTGAACATCATTTTGATTTATGGTATTAATTCTGTGTATGAATATATTTTGTTGTTGATAACATATGCGTGAACTGATGTAGGCCTATACAAAGCCCAAATCAGAGTCTCATTAATTTTGCTTTTTGCCTAATATGATACAATAGATTGTCAGCGTTTCTGAATTTGATTCATTTTTGACAATGTTCATCTTTCTTCCAGGTAGACTGTGTAAGTCTTCTTACACTTAGCTTTTCAAACAGCTGGTGTCGTATTCTAGTGATTGAGAAAATTATCATTTCTCATATATGTTTTTAGAATTCTGAGATTTTCCCAGAATTTCTTGTTAAAATAAGTGCTTGTTGGAAATTCTTTCAGGAGAATAGACTTTGTATGAAATTCATATTGTAATTTTCTCCTTTTGATGTATTGTGTTCTTATTTACCTCAATTTTATGAGGGGTTTTTTTTTCCTTATACTGTTTCTTCATTAGATTCAATTGTTGCGAAAAAATAATTGGTCTGCTTCTTAGTATCTCATACCCTCATGTTTTCCCAACCATTTCTGATGGCATCAAAAAAAGGGCAAGTGGAGGACTATCATTGGTGAATTATACGATCAACTGTTTAGCAACATATCAGAATGAGTCACTTGTCGCATTATGTCGATAAAACACTTGTCGCATTATGTCGATGAAACACTTGTCGCATTATGTCGATGAAACACTATTGCTATCAAATTAAAGATCTGTTCAAGTCCCCTATAAGTGGGTGAGAACAGTATTAGTCTTTCCAAGTTGGGGAATCAATAATACGCAGTTTTGAAAAAATCAAGATTTAGTCCCATATCTAGTAACTGCGACAAGCAACTCATTTTTTCGTGTTGCTTCACCACTAGTGAGTTCCTGATTTCGTTGCAGTTTTTGCCTCTTTCTTTCCGTACTGTGCCCAAACACACCCACATCCTGTGTACTGTTAACCTATTTGTGAACAAATTTTAAAAAAAAATAAAGTTAAAGAAGTCCAAAAGGCTCTGGAAAACTTAAGTACGACACATACTCACTGTTGAATGGAATCTCAAACTTCAACGTTTCACCCCTAAAAAATTATGGGCCAGCAGCTTAACAAAAGTTTTGTTTTGATATTGGTCATTTAGATTTAAATTCCTGCCTTACTGGTGTTGAAATGCCATTGCAATAGACTCTTGAGAAATAGTGCAAAGTTAGGTACTGTGTGGGGTGAATGAAATACGGTCTTGGGTCTGCTCATGTTACTTTTGCCTATATAGACTTCTTTGATTAGTTTAATTGTTCCCTCAAGCATTGAGAATGTTTGTAGCAATGTGATGGCTCACATCTTCGTATATTTGGAGTGGGTCATTAATGTGTGCTCTGGTGTAATTTACTTCTTCTTTCTTATCATCCTTATCTCTCCTCCTTCTTTCCTTTGTTGCTCTCTTGGAACACCTCTAATGGCAGTACTTATATGATCTAATTGTATTGCAAGTGACGTTAAGCTTGTACCCCAAAAAATTGATCAAAGGAGTAAAAAGTAAGAAGGACAGACTCTGCGCCTGGGGTTTGTATAATCAGGCTTTTCACAGTGAGAGCAAAAGATGTGAGTTCAGTTTCTACCTGGGGGAAAGATATTTTGGGGGGTATTTCTAGTTTAAAAGTAGGACACAATATATGTATGTGACAGTGATCAACATTGTGAGTTAAGGAACCCTCGGCCGACAATCTGTGGCATGTGGCCAGGGTGAGCAGAAAGAGAGCAGTCACACCTTTTCGTGTTCAACTTTTTTTTTTCCTCTTCTCTAATTCTTCTCCCCCTGTTGTTTGTTCTCTCAGTACCAAAGACAGAAGTGGATGAAGATGTGCCCAACTATTTTTACCAATAATTAACTCCTAAGTAATTGTGAAGTGATGAATATTTCAGGGAGATTCACATTTACATTGTGTGTCCTGTTTGCCAAAAAGGAGACATACAAAAGTCATTCCCTTGCTGTGAATGCAAAGCTACCTCAGTGATTGCTGCAACCTGGACTCATCAGTTACTTTTACTTCTTGCCACAGTAGTCTGTTGTTATAACTCATTTATGTTGAATGCACAAATTTCTTTTTTTTTATCATTTGTTACAGCTAATGTTCCTTAAATGCACACATTTGTTTTTATTTTTTAAAAACTTTCATTACTTGTTAATTTAATTTATTTTGCTTCTTCTTTAGTGCAAGGATAGAGAGGTTGTTTAAAAAAAATAGTGATAACATTTTAACATTTTCCAACCTTGTCAGATTTGCTGTTGTTTTTGTTTTGAGTAGGATTTTATTGTGAACATCTAGTGTGGACATTGCTATAAATTAAGGAATTTACTTTAGTCTATGCACGGAGGAGACTGTGTTCAAATCTGTCAACTCTGGCATTAGATGAATAGAGTAAAGAAGCATGTCCAGCATCACTGATGTAATGGAAACACAATTGTAATTGATTGAGTATCTCCACTGAGTATCTCCAACAATGACAGGTCTCGTAGTTTCCCACATTTGCCATTACTTCAAAGTTGGAGAAGCCTGCCTCCAAAATTATTTGAATTATGTTTGTGAGGCTGGACAACCTTGACAATCACAATCATAGGAATGAGACGACCAAACACAAACTGAAGGGCTTCTTTTATTGGTGTTATTTGGTATGATTTTAAGGCAATCAGTTCTTGGTTTTTATATATTGGTCATGTTGAAGACAGAGCGGGTGTACTGGTAGCTCAGCTAGTATCGTGCTGGACTGTAAAGCTTATGGCTGTGATTCAAATCCACAATGAGGTGTTCTGAACTTGAATTGTTTTGGGGAGTCGTTCTAGTTGTTGTCCACTCATTTGGCTCAGTCCTTTCAGAGATGGACATTAAATTCAGAGGTTCCCGCCTCTGAAGTAACTTCACAGTGTTGAAAGGAATGTTAAATCTGTACAATGTAGGTAGAGCTGTTAGTCCAGTGTGTTGAGTGTTGTGTAGAATAAAGAAACATGTCAGGGGTTGTGCACCATGTAAACGTCACACTTGCACGTCAAAGCAAAAGTATTTGAATAAGTCTTTTCACCACGAGAGTGGTTGCATCCCCCTCAGTTTTACAATGTTAATTTGTTACACCCCCCCCCCCCCCCCCCCCCCCCCCCAATGTGGGTTTTGTTATTCATGACAAAAGCATGTTTCAGAGAATATAACTCTTCATAGACACATACAATGAGGAGATAGGTAGATTGGATGACACAAAAATTAAATGCTAAATCAGACTTTCATGTAGCTTTTGCTTTGTATTAGTGGAGTTTTTTAAACATCATATAATTTAAAAAACAATGATCGTGCTGAACTATGGTGCTGATGGTTATTTGCACGGTATTCAAAGCTCTCCTCGCTCTAAGTTTAGTCCTTTTATAGATGTTAAATTTGGAGGTCCACCCTCTTGTATAACTTTACTGCGTTTACAAGGAGCAATATACCCATACCATTCAGTACCAATCTAATTTTTTTCCGCGAAGTGTTTTTAAAATGTTTTGTGGAGAAACATGTGGGAAGGAAGTTGCTATATTGTACCTGTGGTTTTTTTGCTTGTGAGGGTGCAGACAACCTCAGTAATTATTCTGAGACATGTTTAATTTTGGAGCAATTTAATTCTGGTCCACACCCCTCCGCTATCTAGAGAAAAGTTTAGGCTTTTTGTCTTACAGTTAGTAGGTTCTGTGTTCCATTCCCACTTGAGAGTGACATTTTATAGAGTATCTCAGTCTTTCTACTTGGATGTGTCCCTCGCACAGGTTGGCTTGACCAGAACAGAGTGGGTCAAAGCACCCTGCCTCTAGGATGACCTGCATTGTGTTGGTGTGGGTTGAAAACATTTATAACTTTTCTTATTGTTCATGACTATGTCTTGAATCTCATGGACATGCTGTGATTTCCTGTTTATTTGTAACGTTTGTGATCAATGGACTGTTAAGAATTGTACATGGCCTGCTCTAATTTAGGTTTCTGCGTAGCCGTCATGTCCGTCTGACTTCCAAACGAGAGTTACCAATAGACGGTCAATAGTGCCATAATCTGTGACCAAAACAACATATTTATGTAAGGGGAAGCCAGGAATACATATTTGTGTGTGCATCTCTTTTTGAATGGAGGTAGCCTTAGCCTTTGTTTAGGAGGTGGTTGTAGGTGGCCACTGGTAAGTCCAACAGGACATGTTTTCTTTCCCTTTTTTGTTTCTATCTTTCTGTCTGTCCTTACAAAATGACAAGCGCTTTGTCAATGGGTGACTAACAAAAACTTTCAACCTCTGTTATTTGAATGTTATTCTTTATTTCATGTCTAAGACAGCCACCCATTGTCGAGGAGAAAAGTGGATGTCTTAGATTGATGGATGTCTAAAACATTGTCATTATAAAAAAACGCGACAGGGGAAATGGGAAGTGGCCATTTGTACAGGTGATTGTGTTATACAGTTGCACATGATGTCATAGACTGAAGTCTCATCTTTTACTGATTATGGGGCAGCAGTTTGGGTTTCCAAATATGCGCAAGCCCGTACAAAAGAGCGACATTTTTTTGCATTCGTGACCTATTGTTATCTTCTCCAGAAGAGGTGAAGAAGGTTATTTCCTGCTTGTTTTGTACCCACACTGTTATCTCGCACTAATTGATTTTATGTAGTGAAGGAAATGAAAGGTGTGATCAGGTGCTTTGACATGATGGAGATGTTTCTAGGGTGAGGCCATCTTGTTTTAGTCATTGTGAGTGTATGGCTTTATCCATTTTGTTGCCATACAGTGGTTGTGTTTTGAAGGATCTTTACATTCTCATTGGTGGACCAGAGAAAAAGATGGGGGAGGGGGGAAGGAGTAGAAAGAGAAATTACAGGCCTAGGTTTTCCTCTTCTCTCTGAGGTGGATTCAGTGTAACAGATTCAGATTTGAAAGGGTAATAAGTTCACTTGATTTTTCTTTCAATATAAAAAAATTAGCTAAGAAAATAACTTACCTTTGACTTTTAACTCAATCAGTAGGCCTAAACTTGTTACTAGTGAGGGAATAAAGCTGCCAGATTTTATGGATAGGAGTAGTAAAAATTTTTTAAGCAATGAAATTATTCATTTTGAGACTCGTACTTTTTGAAAAGTCTCTGTGATACACACCGCAGACATTCTGTACACATCTCAGGCATTGATAATTTCAGTTTTTTCAATTTCTTGATTTTTTACTAGATGAAAGTACAGTTGAAATCATCCAATATGGTCACCCATTGTCGAGGAAAAAACTAACTACCCTGCACAGGTGGCTGTCTTGGACAGTGACATTGTAATACAGAAAAAATTTAAGGAAATAAGTTGGAAGCGGTTGTTGGCACAGGTGACGGTCTCGAAGCAGTAGCAGTTTAAGCAGGTTCGACTATATTTCTAAGCTTCTTTGTTTCACTTGTGTAGCAATACAACAAAATGAGTTTCAGGTGGCATTTCGACAGTATAACCCTGTGGGTATCAATGAAATAGAAGATCTGTTCAAGCCCTACAAGTGGACGAGAACAGTTGAGTCTGCTGCTTTGGTACCACAGTCATAGCCACTTGAAGTTTTAGACTCGAGACAAATATTTGTGAGAAAAAAATCAAGGTTTTGCCCAGTATATTGAAACACCTGAAAGCTACACAGTTTGAGAATAATTAGGAGACCTGCATTAAAACCTTTGATGAAATGGTTTAACTTTTTTCCTTGTGCAGAGATGTGAGTAGGCCTATGGTTCCCAAAGTTGGTAAGATATTCTGTAAAGTATGTCCATCTTTTGGAATATGGTTGGTTGTCCCTACAGAGATCTACTGATATTCTCTTTATTGGCAAAACCAAGCTGCCTGACTCCTAAATTTCTAAATTGTATGATGTGGAGTGGAGGGGGTAAAACATTTACAATCTGTCACTCTGAGAAAATGCACAGAGGGGGAAGGGGAGGCATGACACTTTTATAT